CTCTTTCCCCATCTAAATGCTGAATGATCACTAATACCTGTCTGTGATAACCGCAGATGCTGACTCCCACCTGTGTCACATGCAGTGGGTATTCACTCTTCCAGGTGCTTATGGCCAGGGGACCAGTGTGTGGCTGCAGCCCTCCCCTGCTCCCAGCAACTCACCCCAGGATAAGGCACAGGAGGGAGGACGAGTATCTTTGTTGACTGTCAGGCCATCCCTTGCATAAAGCTTGCTCAGTGGGCTTGGGGTAGGGTGGGGGGATTTGCACACCCTCCATCCCATCCTGGTTCCCAGAATATTCCCTGGAGATGCTGGACTCTGTGCCGGGGTCACCCCACAGCGCTGCCAGCATCTTCCTACATGATGGGGCGAGAGGGGCTCCCAGCGCATGGTGGCAACAATTCCCCATTCAGAGCGGGCAAGGAGTGTGCCTGCAGGGATGTGTCTGCACCACTCATCACCAGGACCTGGGAACAGCCTGGGGCGCCAGGTCCCTCCAGGATTTTTGCCCTGGCTGCCTGGGAAGCCGTCTGTCTGTGGACAGCGCTGGAGAGATCCTGTCATCAGTGGTATCACGGGGTGGGCTTGCAGAGCGGCTCGGGCAGGGACACATCCAGGGCTCGGGAAGGCCTCCAGCGGCTCTCAAGGCAGCTGGCAGAGGCTGAGTGGTGCCGTCAGGATGGGGCTGTGGCACAGGGATCAGGGCTGATGGTTTTCTGAACAGCACCAAGCCACCAGGAAACCCGAGAGCAGCACTGGTGCCATGGTTGCACCCCTGCAGCTTGTGGGAGTGCTGATTTTCCACCAGCTATCGCATCACTACTTCAGCCCAGTGATCTCCTAGCGTTGAAAGGGCTTGCCACAGCTCAGGGCTGGATTCCTCAACTCTTTGTCATCCTGTACCCAAGCAGAGCCAGGCATGTCAGAGGGACACCATCCGCACTGCCACCATCTCAGTGCCAAGCTCTGGGAATGAACCTCTAGGGAAGCAAAAGCCAGCTTTGGACCTGCAGTACTGACCGATGCCCACTCCCAGGGGGATGCTCTAATGCAGGGGGTTAACCCTGCAGACTTCCAACACAACCCAGGCACCCACCCAGCCCCAAAAATCCTGTGAATTTGGGTCCTCCAGGTCTTGCAGAGGTGCTCAGGGCTACCATATATTTCACCTCCCCACAGCTTTTGGTTTTGCTGTGACCCAGGATCCTAGAGAAGCTGCGGTGGCTGGGCACTGTTACAGTGTGTAAGGCAGCTTTGCAGGAGCCAAGACACAGTGACTCCAGAATAGCACACCCCAAATGCCTCCCAAGGCATGGGAGGCCTCTCAGACACACCGTCAGCTTTGGGGAGAGAGGATGATGTGTACTGAGGTACCTGCACACTGTGGTGTGTGCTGCAGGGTGCTGAGAAGTGGTGGAGGGCTGTGCTGGTTCAGTGTGAACTCTGTACCGTAGCACAGTGTGTGCATGATGAGCTCCAAAGGGGTCTGGGGTAGAAGCAGGCATCCTGGTTTCACTGGACACCTGGTTTTGTGGTCAGGATGTGCCTCATGTGTGTAATTAGTGCATGTGCCTGGAGGCTGGGCAATGTCAGGTGTGTTTGAGCTGGTACAGGGTGCGAACACTTGAGAAAAAGCCTGGGACGCTCCTGTCTGGAAATGCAGATCCTTTCCATACCAGGATCCACACGCAGCTGCAGACAAAGTCAAAAAGAATCCCAGGAACTCCAAACAGCCCAGGAAACAGACACGTGGGAGGCATCATGCTGAGTTCCCCAGCCTTTCTCCCCACCCGCATCCCTCCTCAGTCTCCCAATCGCCTCTCCCTGGCCTGAGCGGGATGGGGCACGACGTGTACCCACCGTCTGCCTCCCGCATTGCATTGCCTGCTGCTGCCTCTGCTCCTCAGCGAGTCTCTTGCCATCGCCACGTCCCTCAGACGTGGTCCCGCACCTGGCTGTCACGGAGATGGGGAGGATATTTATAGATGCTGCGGATAGAGGAAAGCGCAGCTCAGACAGGGAGGATCAGCGAAGGAGGGGAGCCAAGCTTTTTAGCATGACCCAGGTTATTGTGCATTTACCAGGGAAACCAAAGCCTCCTCGCTAGTTCAGCAACTCAAAGCTGAGCGGCTGTTGCTCCTTTCACCCAGATTTGCACCCAGGGATTGCCCATCACAGCCCTGCAAGAGCAAATCTGTGCCTGCGCTATGGGAGCGGGCAGTCTTGCCTGCCCCCAGTGTCCCTACTCCTCCTGGGTCAGGAAAAGCAACTTCCAAGCACTTCTGCTTTCTGGTAGCATTCGTCTGGTCCTGGTGCCTTGGGATCAGGGCTGGAGTAGGTAGCCTGGGTGGCAGAGTCATTAAGGAACTGTCACCATCTCCAGGACTTGTGCTGCCTTGTGCTGGGCCACCAGCAGACCCAGGACATCCCCTCCCTGCAGAGAAGGGGAGAAGAGCCGTGCTGCGGGTCTCTGTAACCCCCTGACACCTGTCCATCTGTCTGTGCCCTGCCGTACATTCCTTTCCCAGAAGGAGGAGTGCAGAGTGATGACGGGGTGTGGATGCCTTCTCCCAAGCACAACATGCATCCCTCTCCCACTCACAAGGTGTCTGCAAGGGGAGGAAGAGGAGGAGCTGAGCAGGTCCCAAGCACATGCAGCACTGCACAAAGAGCAGGGAGCCTGCTGGCCAAGCTGTGTGCCACTATGGGGCGGGGGAACAGGAGTCCTGAGGGGTTTTCTCCCAGAGATGGCCATGCACAATGGCCCCTCCATCCCTTGCACAGGCAACAGCCATGAATACAAGAACCTTTTAAAAGTGGCATTAATTAAACAAGTCAGTGTCCGACTGTCTTCCCCCCTTGCACAGAGCTATCCGCCCCGGCATCCCCGGCAAAGCCCCAGGGGTAGCAGGACAGGAGGTACTGGACGCAATGGTACATCTCCCCTCTGTGCTTTCATGTGTCTGTGGCATTCACCAACAAAACTCACATTTGGAGCCTCAGTCTGAGCTGTTAGCAGGAATTCCCTGTTAACTTCAGCGTACCCCATGTAACAGTGCATGTGGAAAGCCCTTTAAACTGGCATCTGCTGTACAAACATGCTGACATGTTATCTACATCGATATAGCAATTCATCTGGGCAATGCCCACGCTATATCAGTATCACTGTAAGTGCTCGTGCTTTATCGGGTCTGGGACAGATTGCTCAGCAGCAAGGTCAGTCATTGCAGGGACCGCGTCCTGCCTCCTCCCTGCCTCCTGGGCAGCCTGCGCTGGGCTCTCTTCCCTCTTCGGTGCCCCAGGGTTTTTCTTTACCTAATGTGCCAGGCCTCTTTTTGGGCAAGGTGCCTGCCCTGAGGAGCAGAAGGAGCACTGTCTTCTCTGCAGCCCCAACACTCCCTGGGACTCACCAGTATCCCCATCATCATGCTCTTCCCCAGTGGAGCAACCATCAAGCCAGCATCTTTCATGAGAGCATCTGAGCATCCTACCCAGCCCCTCACCATGGTCAGGCAGAGGGTGCTGCTTCTCTCCCCATTACTGCAGGAGGATGCCCAGTTTCTTCCATTAACGCCAGCAGAGAGGGTCAGCCCTTGGCATCAGTTGTGACGAGGAACGTGATGAGGGAGGCCCTTGGCCAGCTGAGCAATCAGCACCCAATTAATTCAGGTCAAGGCTGGGGAGGCCTGGCATGCCTTTCTTCCTTGTCATTATCAGAAATGCTGTGTATTAATATCCTTTATATTAAAAAAAATAATCTTATCATAATTTTTCCTCATTGAAGGAGTTGGTTTGGAATTGGAATTGAGACAAACACAAGCCAGGAGCATTGGCTGCAGAAGGGGAGAGTTTAAGAAAGGCCTTTTGGTAATATCCATCGTTCTCTTATCAGTGAGGATATTAAACGTATTGAAATGCTAAGCAGCTCTTTAATGGCTGTGTCTGATTTTCATTAAACAAGCAGGGGATGAGCAGGGGGAAAGGGGATGCAGCACTG